CTTTTTATAGAAGAATGATATTCTGTTGTACCATGCATAGTTTTGTGTGTGCGTGTCGTGGTGGGGGGAGAAGTGGGGGGAAGGTTTTGAGACAGGGTCTCACTCTGTTGTTGGGGGGAAGTTTTGAGACAGGGTCTCCCTCTGTTGCCCAGACTGGAGTGCAGTGGTATAATCATAATTCCTGCAGCCTCAACCTCCCCGGCTCAAGCAATCCTCCCACCTCACCTTAGGTAGGAACTAGAGATGCACACCACTATGCTAAGCTAATTTTTAAAAAAATTTTTAGTAGACATGGAGTCTTGCAATCAGGAAGATCTTGGACTCCTGAGTTCAAGCAATCCTCTCACCTTGGCTTCCAAAAGTGTTGAGATCGCAGGCATGAGCCTCTGCACCTGGCCTCATATTTTGTTTATCCATTCATCTGTTGATGAGCATTTGAGTTGTGTCCAGTTTTTAACTTCTTTTTTTTTTTTTTTGAGACAGTCTCACTCTGTCACCCAGGCTGGAGTGCAATGGTGCGATCTCAGCTCTCTGCGACATCCACCTCCCAGACCCAAGCCATTCTCCTGATTCAGCCTCCCAAGCAGCTGGGACTACAGATGCCCACCATCATGCCTAGCTAAATTTTTTTTTTTTTTTCTGAGATGGAGTTTCGCTCGTTACCAAGGCTGGAGTGCAGTGGCGAGATCTCGGCTCACCGCAACCTCCACCTCCTGGGTTCAGGCAATTCTCCTGTCTCCCAGCCTCCTGAGTAGCTGGGATTACAGGCCTGTGCCACCACGCCCAGCTAATTTTTTGTATTTTTAGTAGAGACAGTGTTTCACCATGTTGACCAGGATGGTCTCGATCTCTTGACCTCGTGATCCACCCGCCTCAGCCTCCCAAAGTGCTGGGATTACAGGCGGTGAGCCACCACGCCCTGCCTATGCTGTATTTTTTAATAGAGATGGGGTTTCATCGTGTTGGTCAGGCTGGACACGAACTCCTGACCTCAAGTGATCCACCTGCCCTGTCTTCCAGAGTGCTGGGATTACAGGCGTGAACCACCACACTCAGCCGCTTTTATTTCTTTTGGATCTACTTAGGAGTAGAATTGTAGGTCGTTTGGTAACTTCAGGGTTAACTTTGTAAGCACTGCTGAACTGTTTCTCTGCGGCCTTGCTGTTTTACATTCCAATCAGCAGAGTTAGAGAGTTCCAATTTCTCCACCCTCTCCAGAACACTTGTCATTGTCTTTTAAATTCTAGCCCCAAGTGGGATCTCATTGTGGTTTTCATTGGTATTTCTCTCCTGACTTGCGATTGTGAGTATCTTTTCATGTGCTTATTGGCCATTGGTATTTGAGAACTATTTTAATCCTTTGCCCATTAAAAAAATTGTTTTTTCCTTTTATTGCTGAATAGTTAACACTTTTTTTTTTTTTTTTTTTTTGTGACAGAGTCTCACTCTGTCACCCAAGCTGGAGTGCAGTGGCCTGATCTCAGCTCACTGCAGTCTCCGCCTCCTGGGTTCAAGGGTTTTTCCTACCTCAGCCTCCCAAGTAGCTGGGACTACAGACATGTGCCACTATACCCAGCTAATTTTTATATTTTTAATAAAGACGAGGTTTCACCAGGCTAGTCTCAAACTGCTGGCCTTAAGTGATCCACCTGCCTTGGCCTCCCAAAGTGCTGAGATTACAGTTATGAGCCACCGCGCCCAGCCCAGTAGTAACACTTCTGTATACATTCTGAATGCTCCACTCCTAGTAGCTTCGTGACTTTCTCCCTTTCTCTTGGCTGTCTTTTTATTTAAACATCCCTTGAAGCAAACATTTTTATGTAACTGTGAGGAAGTTCAGTTTATTATTTCTGGTTGCTTTTGTTTTAGGTGTCATACATGTATATATGTGCACATGTATGCATGTATGACATGTGTATATGTTTTCTTTTATAACAGTTGACATATTTTGTTGATCTGTTTTAATTTTTGTACATGGTATATGGTGCAAGGGTTCTGATTAGTTTTTGTAGTCTCCTTTGTCTATTCTATACAGAATAGTTTTATTGCAGGTTTAGTGTCCTTTAAACACATAACTTTAAGTGTTAGGCTTGGGGATGAGTGTATACCTTTGGAAAAATGGAATTGTTGGGAGCCCCATCAGGGTCTACTAGCATATCATAGTGGAGTTTGGTGGCAATGTCTTCTTCTCTGTATCTTCACTCCCTAGTTGTAGGAGCTGCTGAATCAGGCCTATTGTTAACTAATGTGAAATATCCTCTAAGGAGATGAGTGAGCCTAGTGGCAGTTCTCTTTGGATTTTCTGTAAAGCCCAGGACACCCATCATGACTCTCAGATTCCTCAGCAAATTTCCTAATGCATTAGAACAAACAGGAGATTATGAGGAAAGGCAGTCAGAGTTTGAAAAGAAACAATGGAAGACAGGTCCAAGAAACTAGATCATCAGGTGCTAGTTGAGAATTGAATACAATTTTACCCCATTTTAATAATACTTATTCTTAATTGTAAAAGTAATTCATAATCGTGGCAAAAAGTACCAAGCACTGTAAAAATTAAAAATACAAAGCAATCTCAAATTGTGACAGCCAAGAGAAGCCTAAAGAAACATGATTATAATGTTGGTGGCATGTAAGTTTGGTGTCTACAATGGAAAAAGTGTATCGGGGAAGAAATGAGTAAATACGGTAAGATACAGACATCAGTTAAAACAACAAGAATAAAAAATGAATACCGAATTCCTATTCCTAGAGGAAGTAGTATTGTAACATTTGGTGAAGTTCTAAGAACCATTTTTATGCTGCTTTTAGTCTGTACTAGGACCTGTTCTAAATAGTATTTTAGCTCATTTGATTGTTAAGCCTTTGTATAAAGCAAATACAATGTAATCTGCTCATGTCACAGATTAGGAATTTAATGCACAGAATGTTAAGTAATTTGCTCAAAGTAACATTGTTGTCAAGAATCAAAGCTAGAATTTCTTTTTTTTTTTTTTGAGACGGAGTTTTACTCTTGTTACCCAGGCTGGAGTGCAATGGCGCGATCTCGGCTCACCGCAACCTCCGCCTCCTGGGTTCAGGCAATTCTCCTGCCTCAGCCTCCCGAGTAGCTGGGATTACAGGTACCTGCCACCATGCCCAGCTAATTTTTTGTATTTTTAGTAGAGACGGGGTTTCACCATGTTGACCCGGATGGTCTCGATCTCTTGACCTCGTGATCCACCCGCCTCGGCCTCCCAAAGTGCTGGGATTACAGGCTTGAGCCACCGCGCCCGGCCCAAAGCTAGAATTTAAATCAAAAGAGCCTGAGTCCAAAGGCATGGTTTTTATCACTGAACTCTAGTGGTGTGTATACTTTCATAATTTTTTCAGTGTATGAATAAACATACAAAATACCTTCAAATAGTTATTTTTACATTTTGCTTATTTATTTATTTATTTGAGACAGAATCTCACTCTGTCACCAGGCTGGAGTGCAATGGTACCATCTCGGCTTACTGCTACCTCTGCCTCCCGGGTTCAAGCGATTCCTGCCTCAGCTTCCAAGTAGCTGGGACCACAGGTGTATACCACCACGCCCAGCTAACTTTTGTATTTTTAGTAGAGATGGGGTTTCACCATGTTGGCCAGAATGGTCTCTATCTCCTGACCTCCTGATCTGCCTGCGTCGGCCTCCCACAGTGCTGGGATTACTGGCATGAGCCACTGTGCCTGCCTTACATTTTATTTTTCGATTCACTCTCATGATCAGAGTGAACTTCCGGTGTTATTTTATGTGAATATGTATCAGTGAGCTGTTAGAAACTGCAGTGTTTTTATAGGTCAAAAATGGAATATTGACAGTTTTATGTTGTTCAGCCTAACTGATCATTCCTTCCATCAGCCATATTGCATGTTATTGTTTAAACATACATTAATTTATTTAGCCTATATGTTCTCTGTGAGGAACAGTACAGTTTCTGAGATTTTATTATGATAAAAGTCAGCATTAATAAGCCTCTGCACACTTGTTTTAATGTAGCATCATTGGGAACTGAGCAGTAGCTTAGAGGGCTTGGGAGGGGATTTAACCATTTAGTCCACCTCCACTCCCACCACCTCCCTTGTTAGATAATGGACAATTCAGAAACGGCAAAAGCGTGTAAAAACTATGCAGATGCAGCTTCAGGATTATTTCCTTCCTGTTCCCAGCAGTGTCTTTTTCCCAAGCTACGAGAATGTCTAAATTTTGTAGTTACCAATGCTTCTGTTATTTCTGCAGGTAGAATATCATTAGATCAACAATCATACTTACCTGTCCGTTAGTATTGTATGAAAGTGCCTGTTTTCCCCCACTCTAGCTGTCATTGATTATTGGTAAAAATTTAAATGTATCCAAATCTAGTAGGCAGAGAAGGGCTCTCCTAATTAGATCTTAGGTGGGGGTCTAAGTTCATATTTTTGTTTAAAAAAAGTGAATAACCGGTGTTTTTGAATTGAATGATCTATCCATTCTGTATAGGAGAGTTTAATTATATCGCGATTTCGGGGTTAATCATATTCACAGTTTACCCCTTCAGAATGTAGAAAGTGGAAAAAGGGAAGAAAGATCCCACCAAATTTGAACAATGCAGCATGTTTTTAGAGTTAGGGATCTTTTCTTCCGGAAGGATTTCAAGTCTGGTATATTTGCATTGATTGTGGTTATGGCGCATTTTACTTTTCCAAAGCAGCTTTTCTGTACCGCACATGGGAACACCTGAGGGAGAGTGTAAATTAGGATTGTTTGGCCAGTGATGTGTGCAAAAATTTCCTGTAGAACCAAGAATTCTTTCCTTAGTATTTTACACATTTTTAAAAATAGGTAGACCTGTCCATTGATTCCACGTTGCTTATGGTTTCCAGAGGCCCTTGTCAATGCAGCAGTGATGTGGAGCCTTAGGGGTGCTATAGCCCCCTCCCACCTGTTCATTCCGGCTCGGGAGGGTGCTGGGACGCCTGCACTGCGGCAGACGAACACGCCTGCGCAGCCGCATGGGTGGGCTGGTGCGCATGCGCAGGCGGGGTTGTGCGCGAAGCCTGCAGCTGCGGCGGCGGCGGCGAGTCTTGCGCAGAGTGGAGCGGCCGCCGAGGATGTCTGACGCCTTGGTTTGAGGAGCGGTCAGTGGCGCGATGGAGCGGGCAAGGTCAGCTGTGCCGGTGGCTTCTCTCAAGAGCCAGCCTGGGGAGCGGCCACTTTTATTCCTCAGCTGTTCCAAGCTCCCAGGACTTGGAATACCGTGTAGACTGGGAATTGGGGCCCTAAAGCCCTTTGTTCTGGACAGCCAGATCCCGAGCGTTGAGACGCTCGCTGCTGTGCCATCCCGCCCAGCGGCGTCCCGGCATCCCCCGCGCGCCCCCGACTGTGGGGTTGCGACGGGTCCTCAGGTCCTGTTGTGGGTGTCTGCGGTGGGAAGGGCGGTGGTGATGGGGCGCGTGCAGGGTAACCGCAGTGGGTTGGGGACGCGGGTGGAGGCGGCTACGTCGGGGTGACAGCCGTTCTGCGGAGCGAGGGGACGTGGGCGGACCAGCGCATTGGGGGTTTTAGGCAATGGTAGGGATATTGGGTGGTCGTGGTGGGGCGAAGGTACATGGAGCGGCCAGTGTTTCCGGGGTGCTGGGTGCGGGGAGGTGTATTGAAGGGACCATTGCGCGGCGGAGCAGGGCATGTGGGGAGACTGCGGGGCAGTGGACCAGGGGCATGAGCCGCCGCAACCGTGGTGGGGATTGTGTCGGGGACTGCGGCGCGGGGAGGGTCCGTGGGAAGTGGTCACGGGCAGGCGGCGGCGTTTGGCATGGCGGCGGCGGGCACTGTTGCTGTCTGCAGTGACTGAAGGATGCTGAACGATCGCCGTGGCGGGGCGGGGGCGCCACACGGAGGGGCAGCAGCACAGTCCGCAGCCTTTAGTCTTCCTGTGACTCGCGTGGCTCATCGGTTTGCCCACTGCGGTGATGCTGCTTTTTTACTGACACTGGGCAACGCCGACGGGGCTGCAGGGGCTGCAGAAATGCGCGGGGTCCCCGCGTTGCGTGCTCCTTCAGGAACCCTCGCTTTTGAGGCAACGCGAAGACGGGAATGGTGTGCGGAACTTGCACCTAAACGTCTTCTGACGGCTTCGGCAGGTGATGCCGGAGGGGTGCTCTCTTTTTTTGCCGTTGTTTTTCTCTCAGGAAGCAGGTTTTTGAAGGCTGTGTTGAAATAGCCTGGGGTCTGCGTTGCGTCACCGCCATTGTGCTGCTCCTTCAAGATGGCCGACGCTGCAGCGGCTTGGATCTGCGCAGGCGCAGTGGGGAGGGGGTGGCCGCCGCCTCCCTGGAGAGCTGCCAGTGGGGAGCGGGCGGCTTGTGTGTGTGTGTGTGTGTGTGTGTGTGTGTGCTCAGTTTCGGCTGTGCTGATACCCCTCCGGGGTTCAGTAGTGAGGAGAGGAGGCAGGCCAAGGTGGGTGGCTGCCCCTTCCCCAAAGTGCTGCTTGGGGAAGGATGCAGGTTGCGTAGGCACAGCAGAGGTGACAGCCACCTCCACCTGCAACAGGGCAAGATGGGGGAGGGGGGACAGAGGAGTGGGGGTTTATGCTTACGCAGCCTTCGCCTGGAAGGGATGGCAGCCCTCCCCTTCACCTGGCTGACAAAGCAGTCGTTCCTTTCCCGTTGTGGCGCAGTAGAGCGGGGAGGAGGGAGATGGTTGGCGCAGGCTCCGCCTGGGAAGCTTGGCAGCCGCCCCTTACCCACAGTACCGCAGTAGGCGACTGGAGGGGAATGTGGCTAGCGGCCAGGGATTTGTAACCTCTCCGCCTGTGTGGGATGGCAGCTGCGCTGGGCTCCTGCCTTTCTGTTCCGCTATGAACTGGAGTGGTAGGGTTCTGGAGGTCATCAAAGGTGCAGCCGTGCTGCTTCAGGAAGCTCCATTAATGGTAGAGATTTTAAATTGGTTTTCTGACTCCCTAGAAAATGCTAGCTTTTTATTTTTGTAGGTCCTCTCTTGGTTGTATGCGCTAATCTCCATTTTCAAAGTGGATTTGTTAACCCCTTTTTAAATTCGCTGTAGTCTTTGATTTCCACTTACTACATTTGATAAATATCACCATTTAATAGTTACTTGTCCTACTTAATTTCTGGATAGTCCATTCTGATGCGCTGCGTACTTTGTTTAAATGGGTTGGGGGAGAGGGCATCATGGCTCTTCCGACCAAGGTTGAAAGATATTTCAAACACTGGTCCTCTTCGTCTTCTGGGAGCTGAAAGCTGGAAGTGGTGTTTGCTCAAAGAGTAGAAAAGAACCAGAAAAGTGGAGACAATCCTCTTGGGGTAGGGTTGTGCTTGGGACCAGAGTTACTACTGTCTTTTCTTGGATATTTAAATTAAAAGATCATTTTTGAAGCTGGAGCTACGAAAATTTGGTGAGAAAGGTCAGTGAATAAAGTAACTGCTTTTTTATTTTCATCCTTTTTTAAAAAAAAAATTCTAAGGATTTTGTCTTCCTTTACAGGATTTTCATGTGGTTACCTTTATTGTATTTACGTTTTCCCTCTGTCTCTCATACCTGGTATGTCTTGTTGCACTGAGTTGTAATTAACGGAAAAGTTAAATCTAGGATGCCTGAAAAGCATTGTTCTGGAATAATCTATTTTTGGGTGATTTTAAAAATAGCAGGGGTCTGGGATTTTACATGATATTAATAATTTGCCCTTTTTTTCCTGATTGTACGAAGATAGTACTTCAAAAACATGCATTTCTTGGTTTAATTTCATTTGGCTATTTGTAAGCCGAATATTTAGCCTGGTCCGCCATTTTGTAGTCTTTCACTCAGGCCCATGATCCCAACATGGCGGATGCCTCTGGAAAGGGCTCTCGAAGTTTCAAGCTCTGTGTCCCGCTCAGTGAATTGGCTCTTTACCGGGGCTTTTTGGAAGCGGGGAGTGTCAGCCCTTCTTGTGATGCAGAGGAAGGAACCTTGGTTGAGAGGCCCTTATGTTGTTCTCTAAGACAGGGTACTAGCTGATTGGGGTTTATTCACAGACCTTGCCTTGTCTTGATTTTACAATTCTATCTGATCAGTGTGTCATTGCCGAAATGTTTTTCCCACTTATGGTTACTCTGTATCGTTATGTTTCCCCATCCTGTTCCTTTTCCTCATCAACATTTTTGTTTTCCAAAAAATGCAGTTTTTAAGGTGTCAAGGATTCCAAGATAATCTCCTTTGTCACTGCCCTCTGTTAGATAGCTATTCTTAGAAAGAATCATTTAAGAAAGCAAGTTGTGAGTTCTGCCTTCAATGACTGGGACCGTGAGGTTTTAAAAATCCTACTGTTTCTGTGTGAAGACCTGTCACTGGTCCTGTCTCCTCCATTTTTTAGTGTGTGGCCCAGAGCCGGAAAGCTTGAGTGAGAATACTGATTAAGGCAGCCTCTCTCCATTTTTGGATGCCAGCTGGCTCAAAGTTCTGTTTTTTTGTTTTCTTAAAAAAAAAACCAAAAAAAAACCAGGGTATCCCTATGTTGTCCAGGCTGGACTCGAACTGCTGGACTCTAGCTATATCCTCCTCCACTTCAGTCTTTCTGGACTATAGGAAAAGGTCACTGTGGCCAGCCCAAATTCTCCTTTTGGTGATTCTCCCCAGGTTTTGTTTTGGAGGCACTGGGGTTTCTTATGTTTCTGTGGTACAGATTAGAAGGCTGTCACATTAACTTTTTTGTTTAGGAGACAGGGGTCTGGCTGTGTTGCCCAGGTTGGAGTGCAGTGGTGCAGGTATGGCTCTCTGTCACCTCAAACTCCTAAATCAATCTAGACTCCTGCCTCAGCCTCCCAAGTAGCTGTTACTGTAGGCTTGAGGTGCTGGACCCAGCTAATTTATTTATTTATTTTTGGTAGAGAGGGGTCTCCCTATGTTGCCCAGACTGGTCTGGAACTCCTGGACTCAAGCAATGCTCATGCTTAGGCCTCCTAAAGTGCTGGCATTACAGACGTGAGCCCCTGTGCCTGGCCAAATTTGTTTATTTATTTATGTATTTATGTTTATTCTTGAGATCTTAAATAGAAAATTTAGGCAGTTAGTGATAGAATTGGGATCCCATTGCTTTTTTCTTTTCAGGTTTTGTATTTCCAGGTTATTATTTTCAGTATAAGTGATTTGAGGGCAAGCATTTAACACTGTTTATATGTAGTGGTTTTTTCATGATACCTTTAGTTTCATAAGATGTTAGTTTCTGTGTTGGGGATGCAGTTAGATAAATGCATATGTGTACATGAATGTATCCAGAAGATTCAATAAACTAGTATTTTCAGAATAAATCTCATAGATGACATTTATATGTAGATTAAAAAGTAAGTAGATTTAAGCCAGGTATGGTGGCTCACTTCTGTAATCCTAGCACTCTGGGATGCCAAGGCAGGAGCATCATTAGAGCTTGGGAGTTCAAGCTTGGACAGTGAGACCTTGTCTCATTTATAAATGTAGAGACAAAGTCTCTACATTTATACAAGATAAATTCAGGGGCTGGGCAGAGTGGCTCACACCTGTAATCCCAGCACTTTTGGAGGCCAAGGCAGGCAGATCACCTGCTGTCAGGAGTTTGAGACCAGCCTGGCCAACACAAAACCCTGTCACTACTAAAAATTATAAAAATTAGCCAGGCACAGTGGTGGGCACCTGTGTAATCCCAGCTACTCAGGCTGAGGCAGGAGAAATAAATAAATAAAATTAATAATAATTTTTTAAAAAGTTCAGAAAGTTGAAATAATAGAACATTTTTGTTTGATGGCTGTTTCCTCAGTTGACCTCAGACTTACATTGAGCAACTACTGAATGGGTGTTTTTGTTTTTTTTTTTTGGTAAGACAGTGTTTTCGATTTTATACTATTATACTATTAGATTAATCATGATTTAGTTGATAGTTCCTTTTATTATTTATTTTTTGAGGTGGAGTCTTGCTCTGTCACCCAGGATGGAGTGCAGTGGTGCTATTTCTGCTCACTGCAACTTCCACCTCCTGGGTTCAAGGGATTCTCCTGCCTCAGCCTCCTGAGTAGCTGGGATTACGTGACACACCACTGCGCCTGGCTAATTTTTGTATTTTTAGTAGAGATGAGGTTTCACCATGTTGGTCAGGCTGGATAGTTTCTTTAATTTTTTAATATTTTACATTATTAACTATATTTGCATGCCCACCATAATGTAACACTGATCAATACTAAATTCCTTTTCATGGCTGAATGATACTCCTTTGGCTGTACCATATTTTCTTTATTAATTCATAAGTTGATGGACATTTGAGTTGTTTGCACTTTTCGTCTGTTACGAATATTGCTACTAGGAACATGTATGAGTTTGGGTCTTCATCTACCAGTGGAGTTAGTGTTATATGTTAATTTAATGATTAACATTTTTAGGAAGTTTCCAAAAGCTATATATACCATTATATGCTCCCACCAGCAGTTCCCCACCTCCTTCCCAAATACTGTGGTGTCAGATAGTGGCATTTCAGTGGAGTTTTTCTTTTTGTTTTGAGGCAGGGTCTGACTGTGTCACCAAGGCTGGTGTGCAATGGCATGATCTCAGGTCACCACAGCCTCTGCCTCCCAGGCTCAAGGGCCCCTCTTACCTCAGCCTCCTGAGTAGCTGGCACCACAGGCATGGACTACCACACCCAGCTAACTTTTGTATTTTTTTGTGCAGACGTTGCCCAAGCTGGTCCTGACCTCCCGAGCTCAAGTGATCAACCAGCCTCAGCCTCCCATAAGCCAGTGTGCCCCACCTCAGTGGGGTTTGGATTTGCATTTTTAGAGATCTGCATCATTTCATATAGATTAGCCATTTGTTTATGTTTGGAGGACTGTCTATAGAATTTGTCCTTTTGTTGTTGAGTTGTAACAGTTCCTTACATATTCTGGTTATCAAACTTGAAAAAATACTTTTGTGATGTGTGATTGACATACAGAAGCTGTAGATAATGTTAAAAGTTGCTATGCTAAGAGATAAGAATATGCCTTTGGAATTATTATCTTACCACAATTAGTGGCGTAAATGTATCCATCACCTGAAAAAGTTTCTTTGCTTCTCTCTATTTTCTTTTTTTTTCATTGTTTAGATTTTATTTTTGTTTTTGAATTCTAGACACTTAGCTGTTAGTTTAGCAAATATTTTTTCTTATTCTGCTTATCCTTTCACTTCAGTGTTTTTGGAACAAAGTTGATTTGTTGTTGAAGTACACTTTATTTCTCATACTGCTTGTCATTCAGGTGTTACATTTAATAGACCATTCTGTAATCAAAAATAATAAACATCAGTGTATAAAAGTTTGCCATTTAAAAATCCAATATGTGATATGACTTAGAACGTAACTTTTTGAAGGAATAAAACAGCTGTGCATTATTGGTAAGCTGATTTAGCAATCTAAAAGTCTAATGTGGCTTATAAATATCTAGGGCTCAGAAAATTATTAATAGCTTTTGGCAGGTATCCTTTGAATTTTGCTTTTGAGATATTACAAGTATCAGTGAAAGGTCCTGCTGACCTTCCCAATTTATCATCTTTAAGGTTTCATAGGTGGTTTCTGCAGTCCTTAATATGGCTAGTCCAAGTGTGGGAGTTCATGTTCTATTCCCTTGAGCAGCCATTTTGTGAGGGGTTCTGCACATCATAAAATGGTGGGTTTTTTTTGTTTTTTGTTATGTTGATAGTTTTTACCCTGACCAGCTCTGCTATTGCTTTGCAAATCCTAAAGCACCATCTGCATGTTTTTTAAAGTAGATATTTTGTAATTAAACTACGTTCTGCTATTCCCCTATACAAAAGTACCTCTATTGTATCCTTAAAATATTTTTTGAAACCATTTTTGAAATTAGGTTTACTGTTTTTAGTGGGAAGGTGAGTAAGGTAGTGGTGGTATGTGTGTATATGTATCTGCATAAGTGGGAATTTTATATTTATGTGACTAAAAATATAAGTTGATACAGTATTTTTATTCCATTTTCTGATTTTTTAAAACCAGGTTTTCTGAATTCATGGGCTTCTAAAAGTAGAAAAGAAGTGGGTAGAGCATAGATTCTGACTGAAGGCTAAAGATCTTGTAACAATTTTACCTTTGTAAATTAGATTTAATAACACATTATATTAAGTATAGTTCAAAATATAACCTTGACGATAGTTATTTCATAGATTGTTGCAGTCTACCAAACAAATCCCTCTTTTTTTCTGTTTCAGGGATCGCTTACACCTGAGACGGACTACAGAACAGCACGTACCAGAGGTGGAGGTCCAAGTCAAACGTAGAAGGACTGCCTCGCTGAGCAACCAAGAGTGAGTACAGACTGTATTTAAAACAAATGCAAGTAAGAATCCTGTTTCAGATGAGAACAAAATATCTTGCAATGAGGTGATTCAAATGAACTTAATCGAGGAAGAAGACACATGTACTACAGAAGATGTAGTAGAAAAGCAATGAAATTCTTAACCATATTATCAAAATAACTCACCCTCTTACAGATTTTAGTATAATTTATTCTTTTTTCCTATATATGTCTAAGTCATTTTGTCTTTATAAAATTTTTGTAATTACCCTTCAGCATAAAGCATATTTGCATTTTTCTCCATTCTTATATTATTAAATCACTTTGTATGTTTGCAAAATGTACTATGCACTGAAGTTATTACATATTCTTGCTCTGTGGTATTTAGGTGTTTGTTTTTGGTTAGTGTATTCTGTTAAAATTTAAAATACATGGCTATTTTTCATCCTGTTTTTAGTGTGTGCATATATACATGTGGAATGTATACATAGGATGTATTTACAGACACAGTCACTCATTTTAATTTACATTTCTAGAAGGGACATTTTAATTAAAAATACGTAAACGTTTTAAATGACATAATACATATTTAATCCAAGTTGAAACTTTGGCATTTTGTCATTGTTATTTAGATTTTGACAGTCAGGGCTGGGCACAGTGGCTCACGCCTGTTATCCCAGCACTTTGAGAGGCCAAAGCAGGTGGATCACAAGGTTAGAAGATCGAGACCATCCTAACCAACATGGTGAAACCCCATCTCTACTAAAATAAAAAAAAAATCATCTGGGTGTGGTGGTGCATCCCTGTAGCAGCTACTCGGGAGGCTGAGGCAGGGGAATTGCTTGAACCCGGGAGGTGGAGGTTGCGGTGAGCTGAGATCATGTCATTGCACTCCAGCCTGGGTGGCAGAGCAAGACTCCCTCTCAAAGACAAAAAATCACTGATTTATTTTAAATTTAAATTTATTTTATTCTTTCAGGGTATATGTCACTAAATTAGCTCTTATTTTTTAGGGCTGGATGATGCATTGTGAGTTTAAAGGGAAATTGGAAATTGGAGCTGGGGAGTTGTCTTAATCTATTTTATGCAAAGCTTCAAATGTCTTTTCAAATTAATATTCTGTACTTTATGAATTAAATACTGTATAGGCTGCCTCTTTCTTTCTCAGCCTTTTGTCTTATGTTGGGTTACAGGTTAAACCCGAGGGAAACATTGCAATAGGAAATTCTTAAGAGAATCTCCTGTCAAGACACAGGTTTTTTTTACTGAAACACTTCTTAGACCTTTATTAGATCAGAGACTTAGTTACCATTTGTAAACAAAGAGGTTAGAATGGAGAATATGAAGATTTAAAGGTATGTGCAGTGCAATTCTGACTACCTGAAGTTAGTGCCATTTTCACAGGTGTACAGATGCCCTCCAGAGCATTCCCCTCCATGCAGACATCAACTCCAGGCTCCCTGATTGACAGGGCACCCACACTTCTGATTATCTATAGATTCTGAGGTCCTGCTGTCTTCTTGGGTTTTATACGTGACTAGTAGTACTCAGGAAAGTGCTATACTTATTAGATTTGTTAGAAAGGATACAAATCAGCAGACACATAGAGCAAAACCAGGCAGGTCCCTTACAAAGTTTCTCTGCCCTCAGGATGCATTACCTGCACATTAGTGTACGTTACTGCTCAGGAAGCTCACCAGAGCTCCAGTTGTCCAGGATTTTTGTTGGGAACTCATTATGTTGACACAACCGAATCTTTGGACATGTCACTGACTTCAGTTAGCAACTCTCCTGCCCTCCAGGAGGGCTTGCTCAGAGCCCCAACCCTTTAATCTTTGATCTTTTGTGGCCTGGTAGTCACCATCCTGAGACATCTCATTAGCATGAACTCAGGTGTGATCCTAGGGACCCACCTGGAATGGCAGACACATTCCTTTCACTTGGTAAATTCCATGAATTTATAGGTTACTTCCCAGGAATTAAGGCCAGCTAAATTCTTTATTATGCAGAAGCATGTTTAAAATGTTACTGAAAACCTGTGGAAAGAAGTCCAGTTTCCAAATCCTTATACACCAATAATGGCAGAATCGTTGGTGATTCCCAACATCCTCACCTCAAGGCAAGCTAAGTGTGATCTTCTGTATCTCTTCATTCTCATGATCAGATTCTACAGCCAGATTACTGATTCATAGGGGTATGTTGAGGTTTTTTCTCAGGAATTCCCGGCTTACCAGTAGATGACTGGTTTACATACTTTGTTTTTTGAGACAGTCTCACTCTTGCCCATGGTGGAATGCAATGGTGCGATCTTGGCTTGCTACAACCTCCGCCTCCCGGGTTCAAGCAATTATCCTGCCTCCCAAGTAGCTGGGATTATAGGCATGGGCCACCACGCCCAGCCAATTTTTGTATTTTTAGTACAGACAGGGTTTTTCCATGTTGGTCAGGTTGGTCTTGAACTCTTGACTTCAGACGGTCCACCCACCTTGGCCTCTGAAAGTGCTGGGGATTACAGGCATGAGCTACCATGCCTGGTCAGTTTACATATTTTATGAGCCCTAAAATAGCCCTGGAAGTTCTGTATTTCAGGTAGTGACTTGTCAGGAGGATCAGTATGAAGGACAGCCTGAACATCTCCCTCCAAATGCTCTAACAGCATATCCCTCCCTTGACCCCTGGGGCGAAACGATTGTTTCACCTAGGGTAATTTGAAAGTGAGTGACTATATGACACTGATGTGTTTCTTCAGGGGTACCAGCTCTTGGATTTTTAGTTGTTTGGAAATGTCTCTAGACTGGGTAAGTATCTCAGTATCCACTAGTCCCTTGCACAATCTGTGTGTAGAGATTCATGTTTTGTTTTATAATTTCTCATAAGATAATGCCATGCTCTCAGCCTAAAGGAAGATCTTCTTGCCTGGTGTGATGGCTCACGCCTGTAATCCCAGCACTTTGGGAAGCCAAAGCAGGTGTATCACCTGAGGTCAGGAGTTCGAGACCAGCCTGGCTGACATGGTGAAACCCTGTGTCTACTAAAAATACAAAACTAGCCGGGTGTGGTGGTGTGCGCCTGTAATCTCAGCTACTCGGGAGGCTGAGGCAGGAGAATCACTTGAACCCCGAAGGCAGAGGTTGCGATGAGCCAAGATGTTGTCATTACACTCTAGCCTGGACAACAGAGTAAGACCCTGTCTCAGAAAAAAAAAAAAATTAAAGGAAGATCTTAAATGTGTAAGGATCTCTAGTTTTCTTTCATATGGATACATATAAAGACAAACACCTTTTTATCATTTATATATATTGTGCTCTTGTTCTAGGTGTAAGTTGTACCCGAGGCGTTCTCAGCAGCAGCAAGTACCTGTGGTGGATTTCCAGGCTGAACTGAGGCAGGCATTCTTAGCTGAGACACCAAGAGGTGGTTAAAGCCATATTGGAATAGCGAGGAATCTTGATTCCAAGCAAAAACCAGGTTAGAGCTAATGCAGGAATGATCAGGAAGAAAGAATCATTAAAGAATGTGGTGTCTGGGATTCACTTAATTATCAGTGATGCATAACTTTTTTCTTAGAACTTCATAAAATAATCACATTGCATAAAGTTCAAAAAAGCAAAAGCAGGACCTTAAATTTTCTACCCTGAAAGTTTTTTCATGTTTCTGTATTCCAATTATTATAGTGCATGCTTTTCAGGTAGTTTTCTTTTGTGGTGGTGTTTTTTTTTAATGATATAAAATAATTTCACTATAATAAATGGCTGTTGAATGCCCTGTTACAGTGAATGTTGTATAATTTCCTTTTGAGGGAGGTGTCATGTTTTTCTGCCAGTAGTTTGAACAAAATTTTACTAGCTTTGTGTAAAACTTAAGGTAGAATAATTTTTTCAGATATGCAGATGTGAAAATAATTGACTCAAGGAATATGAACTTAAGGTATATTTTTCTAAATTTTATTGCAAGGAATCGTGTTAGTATTCATAGCCTTCAAAAAAATAACAGCCTAGTTACAACATGCTTTCACAGCTTTAGGTATCTTAATTTGAATATAGATTATGCTTAGTGAGTTATAAATATACAGCACATAATTAACCATAAGTATTACAGAATCTAAATACTTTCTTGTGCTTATTTACTAATTACTTTTTGTTTTGTCTTTTTCAACTTTCTGTTTTAACCAGTGTATTTCCTATTGGAATCAGCAGACCATGTAATAAAAATATTTTTCATAATTTTTCAACGTGATGTAGATTTATTTTGTTGCTTTCATTTTTTAGGTGGAAACTATTACAAAGTTGATTTTGATTTATTCCCTTGTTTTCTCTTTGTGATTTTTCCTTTTTTCTACTTTAAGTTTAGAATGCCCTCATTTCTGAGTCTGTTTTTGAAATATTTCCCCTCAACTTGAATTAATTAGACTTATTTATGGCCACCATTTTGAGTATGTATTTATTTATTTAGCTACAAAGTCTTACTCTGTAGCCCAGGCTGGAGTGCAGTGGTGTGATCTCTGCTCACTGTAACCTCCATTTCCCAGGTTCAAGTCATTTTTCTGCCTTAGCTGTAGCTGGGATTACAGGTGCCTGCCGCTACACCTGGCTAAATTTTGTATTTTCAGTAGAGATGGAGTTTCACCATATTGGCCAGGATGCTCTCAGACTCCTGACCTCACGTGACCCACCTGCCTTGGCCTCCCATAGTGCTGGGATTACAGGCGTGACCCACAGTGCCCAGGTAGCTCATTTTGAGTTTAAATCAAAAGAGACAGAAGTTTTCTGAGAAATCCTCCTTTCTTAAATTCTTTATATTTAACATTTTCTAGTTGCATAAGCAGATTGAAATCTTATTGTCCCAAGCTGTTCCCTAGAGTAAGGGAATTTTTCATTGAATAGGTGTGTACAATGGATTTTTTTTCCTTTTATCTAGGAATTTTTTAGCTTCTCAATTAGTTCACAAATTTTTGTAAATTTTGAAATGTAACATTTAAGTCACACATTACAATTTGCAAGTAGGACCGTGTAATTTATTTAATTTTATCTTATTATAGTCTCAACTGCTAGTTCTATGTAAATAGTAACTGTTACTAGGATTCCTTTAGGGCAGGGTTTGGTAATCTATATGGACCGCTACTTGTTTATATGTAAATGAAATTTTATTGGAACACAACTATGTTCATTTATATGTGTTGTCTGTGGGCACATTGGTGCTACATCAGTGCAAATTTGAGTAGCTTTAACAGTTTGAATGACAGACAAAGCCTAAAATATTTACTGTCTTGCCATTTAAAAGGAAAAAAATGGCTGACTTTTGTTGTAGAGGAGCAGATTCAAACAAGAAAATACCAAAGTGGGGGCCAGTGAGTATAGTCAAATTGTCATAGAAAGTGATGAAGAATGGATTGTAGAAGTATATATGAAGTATACATTACAGGGTAGACAATCAGATGAATTTTATTGGGAAGGGCTCAGTCTAAGAATCATGGTACAGCCTGCTGTGGAGGAGGATGGGTAGTCTTTAACAACATTTAAACACTTGATACCCTTTTTCGTTAAAATTGTAAGGCACATGGTAGACAGGAAAAATAAGAAACTATATGGACAGGCACAGTGGCTCATGCCTGTAATCCTACCACTTTGGGAGTCTGAGGCTGGGGGATCACCTGAGTTCAGGAGTTCAAGACCAACCTGGCCAACAAGGTGGCGATACCCCGTCTGTACTAAAAATACAAATATTAGCCAGTCTTGGTGGCAGAAGCCTGTAATCCCAGCTACATAGGAGGCTGAGGCAGGACAATTGCTTGAACCCAGGAGGCAGAGGTTGCAGTGAGCCAAGATTGTGCCACTGCGCCCCAGCCTGGGTGACACAGCAAGACTCTTCAATTAAAAAAAAAAAACAGTTATGAGTATTAGCTTTTTGTTTGGTACCTAAAAATTTACTAGGATACATATCCAATGTATATATCTACATAGATATCTATATACATATGTGTATATATATATATGTATATACGTATATATATAGGGATCCTAGTGGAAAGAAGAATATAAATACACATACCCACATAGCATATAGCCTCAGAGTATGGTAGGCTATGTATATCCTCTGGGTTTGTGTAAGTACACCATTCATACCATGATATCACCAAATGCGTTTCTCCTAATGCATCCCCATCATTACGCAATGTCTTTATTTATCTATCTATTTGTTTATTTATTTTGAGATGGAGTTTTGCTCCTGTGGCCCAGGCTAGAGTGCAGTGACATGATCTTGGCTCATTGCAACCTCTGCCTCCCGGGTTCAAGCAGTTCGCCTGCCGTAGCTTCTTGAGTGGCTAGATTACAGGTGCCCAATACCATACCTGGCTAATGTTTTTGTATTTTTGCTAGAGACAGGGTTTCACCATGTTAGTCAGGCTGGTTTCAAACTCCTGACCTCAGGTGATCAACCTGCCTTGGCCTCTCAAAGTGCTGGCTTTACAGGCGTGAGCCATTGCACCCAACCACTAACGTGATTTTTAACTTGTCCTTCATTATGTGATGTATGAAAGTCGTTTATGAGAGTCTACATGTACATACTCCATAGTTCTGTGTTCCCTTTTGATACAGGAAGTCTTCGGTAGGTTTATAACACATTTAGTTCTTAGTGGGGAAAGATTGCCTACCATCATCTTGAAGCAGTTTTAGGAGGAAGAAAGAATATTGCAGATGATATCATAGGTATTTCAGAAAAAAGGAAAAATTTAAATGAAAGAAGAATTGAAATGTTTATATAGAGATGACTTGATATTATTTCTGAACTAGAGAGAGGCAGTACCTTAATGAAGAATGGAAAGAAAAATACTAAATTTTGGAAAATTAAGCTTAGGTGTTGAAACATTTAGTAATTGCTAGGTAAAATAAAATTCGGTGAGTTTCATGAGTCCTAAATGTGTCAAATATGGGAGTTAAGAATGAGGGAGGAACTAGTGAAATTCGGTAGTCCCTTGGTGAGGAAGCAAGTATGAGAGGAAGGACGTTTTTTGAAGAAGCTGTCATAGTGGTGTCCATGTAAAATTGTCTGCCTGTTTTAAAACATGGTAGATTGCAGCACAGCTTCAACATGCTTTCCCTTGCAGGCTCCATCTGCTCTTTGAAGCTTCTGGCCAGCTTGCATTGTTTCTAGGAGAACCTGCATCATCCCTTTATCTAGAGCCTTCCCCTAGGTCTTCAGAAGCATCAGGTGTTAACTGTGGACATTGGATTTGGTGGAACAGCAATCATGGTAAGCTATATGTTCAGGCAGAGGGTTGAAAACCCGCCTTAAGGGCTGAAAGGAATAGTTTCCCAGCATATGCAGTGATTTTGGGTTCTGAATGTAGGAAATAAGGATATATCCATGGATATGAATTCCCATTGCATTGAGTATCAGCTGAAGATGAGCTGATTTTTTTCCTTTTTTTTCAGACGGAGTCTTGCTCTGTCTCCCAAGCGGGAGTGCAGTGTTGCGATCTTGGCTCACTGCAACCTCTACCTCCTGGGTTCAAGAGATTCTCATGCCCTGGCCTCTTCATTAGAGACAGTTTCTCCATGTTGGCCAGGCTGGTCTTGAACTCCTGACCTCAAGTGATTTGCCCACCTAGGCCTCCCAAAGTGCTGGGATTATACAGGCATGAGCCACTGTGCCTGGTCATGAGAAATGTTTTATGATGTGAGAAAATATAGGAGTTTTTAGTCATACTACTGGTGGTGAAGGACTACTGCCGATGATGGACTGTCAGGTCAGATTACAATAAAGAGGACTTTAAAAACGGAAGGGTTTGGGCCTGAATGGTACTGGAGAGAGAGACCACCCTACATTACATCATTGTGGTTTGGTTTAGTTAGGGGGAGTGGACAGTTTAGAGCATGCATTGTCAAAGAGAAGGATAATCACCCCTAAGGCGGTGAAAATTGGTTCTTGAAATGTGAAAAACTTTTCATAATCCTTTGTAGTCCTCAGAGAGCTGTAGTAAATATGGAAGAATGTTGGTGGAAAAGAAGGAAAGAATATTTAGTTAAGGAAACCAGGCTTGGATTATGTAAGAGTGGAGATGAACCAGGAGAAGATGACTAGGGTGCAGGAATGCTAAATGTGACTCTTGGCTTACTGCTTCCAGACTGTGGGCAAGAGTAGCAAGATGCTGCAGCACATTGACTATAGAATGAGATGCATCCTACAAGATGGCCGAATCTTCATTGGCACCTTTAAGGCTTTTGACAAGCATATGAATTTGATCCTCTGTGATTGTGATGAGTTCAGAAAGATCAAGTAAGGTCGATTGGGTGAATGGGGTTGGAGACAGAGGCAATGGGAAGGAAAGGCTATGGTGGATTAAGGGGTTTCCAAGGGTAACTGAAGTAGGTAGGGAAACTGTGGTAGAGCCAGTCTGTTGTTTAACCTCTAGACTTGATCTCTGAATTAGGTCAGAGTCTGCATCTAAACTCTTTCAAGTTTGTGAAACAATCATAGATGTATTACTGGGAATAAAAGCATATGCTATGATCAAAATACTAAGTTCTTTAAAATTGAGAAACATACTATTGTTAATTGGCTGCCGTCTGCAGTGGTCTTATACCGAAGAAATCTTGGTTGAAATAGACAATACCAATTTTTCTTCATGGTTGAGGAGTTGGGATATGATTACCGTTTGTTATTACTGTTCCCTGCTACTGTTATTATTTTTACCTGCTACTGTTCCCATTATTTCAGTTCCATGTCACCTATCATGATTATTTAAGTAATTTTTTAAAGAGATTACCTTTTTAATATAAAAACCGAAGTTTCAATTTTGTCTTTTTTTTTTTTTTTTTTGAGAGACATAGTCTCACTCTTTCACCCAGGCTGGAGTGCAGTGGCTCAAACTCAGTTCACTGCAACCTCTGCCTCCTGGGTTCAAGTGATTCTCTTGCCTCAGCCTCCTAAGTAGCTGGGACTACAGGCACATGCCACCACACCTGGCTAATTTTTTATTTTCAGTAGTGACGGGGTTTCACCATGTTGGCCAGGTTAGTCTCAAACTCCTGACCTCAGGTGATCTGCCCGACTCAGCCTTCCAAGGTGCTGGGATTACAGGCGTGAGCCACCGCACCCAGCCCAATTTTGTCTTTCTTAAAAGATATTTTACAAAAGAAATTAGTCTTGTTGTAGTATAACAACAAGGGAACATTCTGTAAAAGACTAAGTTAGATCAGAAAAGAACTGTATTATTTACCCTTGTATTATTAACAGTGTTGAGAGATTTTGTTTGTTTTTCAGTCACAACTCAGTAAATGTTTAAATAGCATCAGTTGTCTTAATTGATATTTGATGTTGTAGGCATATTTTGATGAGTGAGTGATCTCGGCATCACTAAAATTTATCTCACTAAAATTTAATTCTGATTTATAGGCCAAAGAATGCGAAGCAACCAGAGCGTGAAGAAAAGCGGGTTTTGGGTCTGGTGTTGCTACGTGGGGAGAACTTGGTATCCATGACTGTGGAGGGGCCACCCCCCAAAGATGTAAGGAAGATGGTAGGACAAGACAGAACTTTAATTTGGAAGGAAATCCTGTTATGTGAGACATCTGAAATCAGGGCACAGCACAGGCACAGTTTAACATACATTGTCAAGTAAAACGTGCCAGTCACTTAATATCAATTGTTGGCTGCCTGTTCTATTTGGTATTAAGAATTTTTTGGTGAATTATTCTACATGCTGGGCATTACCCAGGTAAGGGTAGGAGTTGCTGATTCGTTTTTCCCTGGTATTTTCACGAAAGAGGTATTTTCATAATTTGACAATGTGCTCTTTAAGCACAGGATACCTCCATAGTATATTTATTGTTCATTTGGATCACAGCTTATATGAGCTAGCGTCCTGAGAAAGTGGTGGAGAGAAGTGATCTCTGATGAATAAGAATACTGAACTTTGGTAAATCATTGGGTTTTAGGTTATACATTTTCTTGTTTCAGACTGGCATTGCTCGGGTACCACTTGCTGGAGCTGCAGGAGGCCCTGGGGTTGGTAGGGCAGCTGGTAGAGGAGTACCAGCTGGTGTGCCAATTCCCCAGGCCCCTGCTGGATTAGCAGGCCCTGTCCGAGGAGTTGGAGGCCCATCCCAGCAGGTGAGGAACCAGCAGAGGGTTTTATATTATTGGGAGAATGTGACTAAGCCGGAGGCTGAGAAGGTTTAAAAACCTAAGTGTACGTGTCATACTATGTAAACAGCATATAGTCTAGGAAGAACTGATAGACCCATAATACAGAAGGAAGGAAATAAAACTAGCCACTTAAAATACTCGTGGGTGATTTAAAGTTACCCAAGTTATTCTTGGTACGAGTAACTTGCCACTAGTGGTGAGTGAACAGAATGCATGGATGTACCAGAGTTGAAAAGATGCAAGGGCTTTTTGGATGTGAGATTAGTTTTTAAAGTATGGAAATAAGCCTGGTTATTTTTTACGGTATTTTTAAAATTCGAGTTTCTTGGCTGAGTGCGGTAGGTCACACCTGTAATCCTAGCACTTTGGGAGGCTGAGGCAGGCAGATCTCTTGAGCTCGGGAGTTCGAGACCGGCCTGGCCAATGTGGTGAAAACCCCCGTGTCTACTAAAAATAGAAAAATCAGCTGGGCATGATGGCGCGTGCCTGTAATCCCAGCTACCCAGCAGGCTGAGACAGGAGAATCACTTGAACCCAGGAATGGGAGGTTGCAGTGAGCCGAGATCACGCCATTGCACTCCAGCGTGGGTAACAAGAGTGAAACTCTGTCTCAAAAAAAAAAAACATGGGAATCATGAGAGAGGTACATATTGCACCTGTTAATTGTATCTAATAGGTCGTTTTTCTGATTTATTTTATGTGTGTGAATAATGTGAAGTTTTGTCTTACCTTGTTTCTCGCCCTGTCTTCTCAGGTAATGACTCCACAGGGAAGAGGCACTGTAGCAGCTGCCGCTGTTGCTGCGACTGCCAGCATTGCTGGAGCCCCAACACAGTACCCACCAGGACGGGGAACTCCGCCCCCACCTGTCGGGAGAGCAACCCCACCTCCAGGTAAAGAACTGGTGAAAATGAAGATGAATTTTGGTTTCTGATGTGAGATAGCTTACTGATTGATTTAAGGCACATCCTGAGATCCTAAGAACTGGGGGGGATATGCTTCCCTCTTCTAGATACTGGTTTTCGATGAAAGGCATAGAAGAGTAATTGTCATATAGAGATTGTTTGACTCTATCATTGTTGTCTGGCCCATTTCTTTAGGGATTATTTGGACTAAATTCTAACTGTCCTAAGCTAGTTTATAAGGCCTTTATTTCTGCCGTTTTTCACTGTAGGCATTATGGCTCCTCCACCTGGTATGAGACCACCAATGGGCCCACCAATTGGGCTTCCCCCTGCTCGAGGGACACCAATAGGTATGCCCCCTCCGGGAATGAGACCCCCTCCACCAGGCATTAGAGGTGAGTGGGAGCATAGGGGCTTGATGGTTAAGCCAGGCCCCTGAATATCTATATCCTCTTTTTCTCAATGTTTCTATTTCCTTTCAGGTCCACCTCCCCCAGGAATGCGTCCACCAAGACCCTAGCATACTGTTGATCCATCTCAGTCTTTCTCTCCCCTGCAATGCGTCTTCTGAAATTGTGTAGAGTGTTTGTGAGCTTTTTGTCCCCTTGTTCTGCATTAATAATAGCTAATAATAAATGCATAGAGCAATTAAACTGTGAGGTACTGTTGTATATACGTTTTTGCCTGTTGATTTTGATGAGATCTTAAGTTACTGTGGATGAGGTGAGGCCTATTAAGCAGTTGATTCAAATCCTACGCTTTAAGTCTTAGGATAAAAAGGTTTTCTGCTTTCTCTCTTTTACTTCGTGCCTTGACTGGTGTTGATTTAGTAATGTTTTCATGACCCAGGGGGTTTAAGTGGTGGTACTGTTTCACACATGACCTCCTGCTTCTCGTGTTGCTATGTCCCAGTATCTGAAGGGAAGTGGGGATGGGATGAAACACCTTTTAAGGCCACCTGTATAATGAAGGAAATTGTAATGAATCACACTCCATGCTCATTAAATATGAAGGCATTTGAAATGGAAGTTACTCTCTTTTTTTGGTATGTTGACCTCAGTTGATCAGGTTTTACCGTGCCCTGTGATCAGAATAGAGGATGTGATACTGGTATATCATTTTCAACCATTAAGTAAGTGTTTATTTATGAATTACTAAATGAGTGGCAGATCCTGGGTACGTGGAGGCAGGAGGTTGCATGTTAGTGTTAATAAGTTGTAATACTGATAATAAAGATAGCTGACACACTAAAACATACTTGACACACTGAAATACAGGGAGCCAAATAGTTCAGGAATGCCCTAGTATCTAGGTCCAGTTTGAGATGGTTATGGAACAAAGAAGCCATTTATAAAAGGGAAGAAATTTTTAGGCAGCAAGGGAATGATTTGCAGTGATGACAGCAGTGGGTTTTACCAAGTGCTACAGACATTCATATTAATGCCATAACAGTACTGATAGACTGATTGGAATTACATTTTTTTCTCTTGAATTTACCAGTAGTGGTTGTGAATGTCACCTTCTCCATCTTTTAAATCACATCCTTGCAGGTGGTAATCACCCAAGGAAGAGGAATTAGCGGAGTGACAACAGTTCCTGTTACTGACTGAATAAGTGGTCTCTGCCAGAATAGCTTCTAGGATTAATGGCCACTCTCAGGTAAGGAAAATAAAGAGGCTGCCGCGGTCTAGCCAGGCAGGGTCCAGGAGATCCTGAAGGTGAGCTGGGCATCGGCAGAAGAAGGAGACAGCACGACTTGCAGGTTGTGTCAACCAAAAGATGTGTGTGTTTATTACAGGCAATTCATGGCTTTTATACTTTTAATTTTGGCAGGTGAACAGACAAAACAGGAAATTCAAACATTAACTGGCCTTTGTAGTTACAGTTCTGTGCTTCAGAAAATTACATTGTACTATGATTCGCCAGAATAATCAGAAGAGTTTGTTTTAAAGATGATTCCAAGGAAACCTTAGATGTTTACATTCTACTGTTTTTAATTAACTTTCCTTTTTTCCTAAAGGTTATTAATTTATGACTAACTTATGTTAGACATTATGCTTTCATAACTAAATGTTAAAGAAATTATAAAACAGGGTAAGAGCTAAATATTGACCCAAGTGATAGACACTGTCTGTTCTATCTTCAGGGATGAGTGGATAGTCCCTGGAGACAATAACAACAAACATTGGCAACGTATACTGTTAACTATGGTTACAGGTAAGGGTCAATGGAGTTTAGACTACGAGGTAGAGGACAGCGTGGAAATTCATGAACTTACTTTAACTGTTTTAGTGCAAATATTTTTTGTTTTGTTTTTGTACACTGAGGTCCTGTCCTAGCAAGCCCTTCCGTAAATGTTAGGGAATGATAAAGGACATGGACACTGTCTATATCAACCATTTTAATTCCGTCCTTGTTAGTTACTGCTGTATTAGGTAGAGAACGATCAGGAAGTCTAATTATTTTCTACTTAACATTTGCTCCTTCAGGGGGATACCAAAAGTTACTCCCTAGCTTATAAACTACCCAAGGAAGCCCCTGGGCAGTGGGAAGTAGATTTCTAAGTTTTCGTTCTTTCCTTATTTTTCTTAATTCTGGGAATAGGTGTAGGGGTGACTGGCTCCTGGAGTATTTCCACCTGTTGTAATTCAAGCATAAACTGCTTTACGTCTCTTAGTGAATTTAGGGTCTTTCCTCAAGACACCGAGTATACTGTGGTGACATCTGGGGCCATTAGTAGTAATGGGGATTTCTGAGGTGCTAGGAGTATCGGTGGAAAATTGGGACTCTAAAGTGACATCTGCCAAGTACACAATTTTTTGATTAGGAAGAAAAATGATTAAGCAGACGATTCCCAAGAACCCACTGATCCACCCAAGAAATTGTATCCCCATGCCTCGTCCTTTTCCAGGAAAGAGTCTTCCTCGAAGCTCGTCTCCCCATATTCGGACTTTGTCAAGCAATGTGGTCTGAAAAGGAAGCGGCAAGAGGCCACTCCTTAGTTGCTTTAGGAGATTACACAATACAGGAGTGACATCACTGTTTTCAGACTTTATAAATGTCAAAACAAGCTTCTTGATTTACCAAAGCCGCAACCAAAGTACTTTATCTGGATCTTTGAAGGCAGAGCTTCTCAGTTCAAACAAATTAACTGATGACAAACACTTTTCCTCTGCAGACTGTGGGATAGTATGTGGAGAGACCTGTGAGTTCCTTCCATACTGCTCTGCAAATACTTAACAATTGATTACTTTTTTTATGTTTTTGGAGGGGAAGCGTTTCTCCTTGGATTGGTGTGCTGGTGTAGATGGGCCTTAGATTTTGGCGTGAATGATTATGCAGCATATTTGAAGAAAACCTGTTGGTAAGTTATAAGAACTCTAGATTCTGTAAGATTTTTGCTTCTTGTAGTTATTTTGCTTGGTGATAATACTGTTTTCTTTTGTCTGGAACTTCCTGGACTTTTTGAGAATCCTGATTGTGATGATGTAATAGAAGAAGACTTTGGATATAGATTTTAGTATAATTGAGTGTGGTGAATTTTTTGTTACGGAATGCCAGTCTATGCTTCTGTATGTTCCCACGAGGGATGCACATGAACATACCAGTCTTCAGATACTCTTGGTGGTTAATGCTTGATTTTGCTCAACAACCACCCTGCATTCTTGCATTAAAGTAAATACATGTCTGGTCTAAAACATGACTGGTCAACAACTGTCTGATTCCCTGATATGCATGTTATTAACTGACTTCACAAATTATCCACGTTGCACACCACGTTTGCCATCTGTTCATTGTAGCTTTTAAAATAATTTCACATAGAATTCTGGGATCATTATGATGCTACCTTAAAATAGGTTTTGAAGTATTTGAGGTATTCTGTTTTTATGTGATACGTAAACTTGGCTTGGAATTAAAAGGATTTTGAAAGTTGCTTAGGGAGCTCCCTGCTTTTGTGAACTCATTTCTTAATTAGGTCAAATTTCATAAGTTTGTTAACATAGTGATATTTTGTTTCTTACAGGGTTCTTTCTTGTAATAGAATATTATAAGTGGAAACTAATTTATATAGATAATTATGTGAAATAGTGTTGGTTGTCTAGAATTTTCATGATCTTGTTTCAGATATTAGTAAAAACACCCTTTATCTGGTATGTTTACCTCTGATACTACCTTTACTGACTTCAGCAAGTAGTCAGTTATAATCTGTGGGTTGGAGTCTTTATTTGAGACACTCTTGTGCAGGCTGAGGTACAGTGGTGTGATCTTGGCTCATGGCAACCTCCGCCTCCTGGGCTGAAGCGATTCTTCTACCTCAGGCTTCTGAGTAGCTCGGATTACATGTGTGGGCCACCACACCTAGCTAATTTTTGTTTTTTTAGTAGAGACAGGGTTTCACCATGTTGGCCAAGCTGGTCTCGAACTCCTGACCTCAGGTGATCTGACCATCTCAGCCTCCCAAAGTGCTGGGATTACAGGTGTGAGCCACCATGCCCAGCTATGGGTTGAAGTTTTTAAAGGCATGTTTTCTAGTCGGTGATACATTGCTTAGTTCTGACTTAACATTTGCATTCCGGTTCTCTTCATCACGTTCATAGACATACTAATTTTAGGTATATGAATTTTATGTAATAAAGGAAGGTATATTTTCATGGGATTTTTGTAGTGGGAGAATGACATCTGCCTGAAATAGGATGTTTGTGTTGCACCTTTTTCAGTGTCATGTGATACCATTTTTTGACCACTTAGTTGATGCCTCTGAAAGGAAGAGAATCTGATGGCTAAACTTTGACGTGTCGTCAGTGTGGATCCTACTCAGTAGTGTCACACCGAGGCTGGAAATCATGTTAAGTGCTTTTAGGACAGAAACATAAACTGCTCAGGTAAAATAACCTTGTAAAGAAAAATCAGAGTATATTGCAGAGGCCTTGACTAGATTCATGATGATACAGGACCTTGTCTGAACATAATGATTTCAAAACTTGAGCTTAAAAATGACACTCTGAAATCTAGTCAGTGTGCCTCACTAGACTTTGCAATTTCAAGATTTTCTGCAGAAAATGTTGTGAAAACTTTGAATACATACAAATGGCAAGTGTAGTATTGCACTTTGCTAGATCCTCAGATACCCTTTTTTATTTGTATAGATATTATGAGTTACTTTTTTTTCCCTACATGTTGTACGTTGTTGAAAGCTAAAAGCAAACTTACCCCTGGATCACAGAAGGCACAGGCACTTGGTGAGATGGAAACAAGGATGTGTAAAAATGAGACTACCACCTCTCGGATAAAAAAAAAAGTGCCAGAGTTCTAGGGCTCTATGTGTTGTCCAGGAAGGAGGAGGAATAATATTTATGGAGCATATATTATGGAACACAGTGAGTATAGTACATGCTTTTACATGAATACTCTTGGTATTTTGTTTATATGTGTTTCTCTTAAGCTGTGTGCAGTTGATCAGCTTGTACAAAGGCCATAATAGATATTTAAGAAATATTAAGTGAATGAATGGGGCAGCAATACTAATTTCTGTAAAGTGGGACAGTATCTCACAGCCTAGGTTGGAATTTAGTGCCATTAACATAGCTCGCTGCAGCCTTGAACTCCTCAGCCCAAACAATCCTTTTCACCTCACCCTCCAGAGTAGCTGGTA